AATGTCCTCCTTAAAATAAAAACAGAAACAAAGAGTTCCAGCTAAAAAACAAAACGCCGAGTCCCAGTTGGACTGATGATCTTTAAATTCTAGCGAAAACAACCAAACTCCATCACAGAAGAAGAAAAAGAGGAGAAGAAGAAACACACTAACCTGGTGAGAAGACAGAAAGTACAACAACAAATCTGGAAGCAAATTTCAGTCACTTAGTAGGGATGAATTGACTTCTGGTCTCTAGAGCCTTAATTCTCATAAAATTTCAGTCACTTAGGGTTTAGCCATTAGACGGTATATAGGGACTAGTTGGTGTATATGTGTGTTGCACGTGAACCAATATAAACTATAATTTTGTTTTTAGTTCTAAAGAAAACAATGTGTGTCATAGTGTTAACCAATGATCAAAATATTGTTTCAAAACGGTCGACACATTCGAAATATTTCCGTTTCCAAGGAGACCGAAACGAATCAGTGATGGAATCGAAATTCTAATATTTCGAAATGTTCCATAATGTTTGAAAATGTTTTGTTTTATTTCAATACATTTGCACAATTATTTTGGAATGTTTTAAGGTATTTCAAGATATTTTGGTATATTTCGATCAATATTTTGAAAAAATAATTTTTAAATTTTTTATTTTGTTTATTCTTGTTTTCGAAACGGGGCGAAACGTTTTCGAAACACGTTGAAACGTTTCCGTTTCTTAAGTGACCGAAATAATGCATCGAAATGAATTTTGATCCTTGGTGTTAACCCAATATTTTGGCTAATGTTACAAAGGGGAAAGCACATTAGCTGTCCATATTGAGCAGCTAGTTAAAGCAGAAGAACAGCAACGACGAATTAACACACATAAAAATTGGTTCACTATAATTGATGTTGTAATCCTTGGATAATAGAAAATGCACAAGAGCCAAAATACTCTTGGTGTTCGTTCTTCACGTGAGCACACATAAAAATTTTAATATGCACAATAATCACCGAAAATGATAAATTCTAGTATACTGAAGAATTTCAACCACAAAATAGGGATTGTACCAAATGATGGGCTGCAAAACAAAGTGGTATAACTATCTTTTGTTTTTGACTTACCTCACTGCCATGATGGTTTGGATCAAGAAGTTGAGTAGAATAACATGTTATGATCCAAGATTTGACAAGGCTTGCTGCAAACAAACCTGTTCACCTTATGGTGTTAAACTCTGGGCAAATGTACTTATCTATCGTAGTTAATTTAAGAACATGACAGGGTATGAAGGGATCATGCAATTAACTTAAGAAGATATAAGGATATTACATTAACTTTATAAGTTATACTGAAGAAAAAAATAGAAAATCAAAAGTTCAAATTAATAAGTAACTACTTTAAGAATATNAATCGTAGTTAATTTAAGAACATGAAAGGGTATGAAGGGATCATGCAATTAACTTAAGAAGATATAAGGATATTACATTAACTTTATAAGTTATACCGAAGAAAAAAATAGAAAATCAAAAGTTCAAATTAATAAGTAACTACTTTAAGAATATNTTTGAGTATGCGGAATCGTCAACGGATTCAAAGAACATGGTCCTTTTTGGAAAATTCACTAAGAAATTAATCAAGGTTCCCCCTCTCTTGTCAGGCCACCCATCAGCCATTATGGAACATCCATATTTTGGCCAATCTTCTTGGTGATCTTTCATCAATGACTTGGTATGCTCTACCTCTTTTTTGAGCAGTGGGACCCGAATCTTATGGTAAAATGGTGGTTTCAAACTAGGATCATACTGTCCAATAACTTCAAACATTGTTACAAAACTTTTGTAGTTCAGAACATTACATGGTCCAGTGTTATACATCCACCATGCAAATGATGGGCTGGCTTGATTTCTCATTTCCTTTTTGTAAGGATCGTTGGTATCGATCTTCGATTGTCTCCCCTTGGCCTTTCGATTTTGTACAACATTTGGATCAGGGGTGAAAAATACATTCACAGGCCCTTTTTGCCTTGGCCTTTTTGGTTTGTGTAGAACCTTGACTATAATTAGTGATGGATCTTTTACCATGCCCAATGACCTGTACAATATCATCACCATCATCTTCGAAGTCATTATGCATCTCATCAAAGTTAGGAACCATGTCCATTTGCTTTTTCTCATCTTTTTTTTAGCCATGTATTTTCTAATGTCCTCCTTAAAATAAAAATAGAAACAAAGAGTTCCAGCTAATAAACAAAACGCCGAGTCCCAGTTGGACTGATGATCTTTAAATTCTAGCGAAAACAACCAAACTCCATCACAGAAGAAGAAAAAGAGGAGAAGAAGAAACACACTAACCTGGTGAGAAGACAGAAAGTACAACAACAAATCTGGAAGCAAATTTCAGTCACTTAGTAGGGATGAATTGACTTCTGGTCTCTAGAGCCTTAATTCTCATAAAATTTCAGTCACTTAGGGTTTAGCCATTAGACGGTATATAGGGACTAGTTGGTGTATATGTGTGTTGCACGTGAACCAATATAAACTATAATTTTGTTTTTAGTTCTAAAGAAAACAATGTGTGTCATAGTGTTAACCAATGATCAAAATATTGTTTCAAAACGGTCGACACATTCGAAATATTTCCGTTTCCAAGGAGACCGAAACGAATCAGTGATAGAATCGAAATTCTAATATTTCGAAATGTTCCATAATGTTTGAAAATGTTTTGTTTTATTTCAATACATTTGCACAATTATTTTGGAATGTTTTAAGGTATTTCAAGATATTTTTGTATATTTCGATCAATATTTTGAAAAAATAATTTTTAAATTTTTTATTTTGTTTATTCTTGTTTTCAAAACGGGGCGAAACGTTTTCGAAACACGTTGAAACGTTTCCGTTTCTTAAGTGACCGAAATAATGCATCGAAATGAATTTTGATCCTTGGTGTTAACCCAATATTTTGGCTAATGTTACAAAGGGGAAAGCACATTAGCTGTCCATATTGAGCAGCTAGTTAAAGCAGAAGAACAGCAACGACGAATTAACACACATAAAAATTGGTTCACTATAATCGATGTTGTAATCCTTGGATAATAGAAAATGCACAAGAGCCAAAATACTCTTGGTGTTCGTTCTTCACGTGAGCACACATAAAAATTTTAATATGCACAATAATCACCGAAAATGATAAATTCTAGTATACTGAAGAATTTCAACCACAAAATAGGGATTGTACCAAATGATGGGCTGCAAAACAAAGTGGTATAACTATCTTTTGTTTTTGACTTACCTCACTGCCATGATGGTTTGGATCAAGAAGTTGAGTAGAATAACATGTTATGATCCAAGATTTGACAAGGCTTGCTGCAAACAAACCTGTTCACCTTATGGTGTTAAACTCTGGGCAAATGTACTTATCAATCGTAGTTAATTTAAGAACATGAAAGGGTATGAAGGGATCATGCAATTAACTTAAGAAGATATAAGGATATTACATTAACTTTATAAGTTATACCGAAGAAAAAAATAGAAAATCAAAAGTTCAAATTAATAAGTAACTACTTTAAGAATATGAAAAGATATGAGAGGATTTATAGTTAATTGAAGAAGATAAAAGGAAGATTGATCACAGGAATTAGTTGTTTTTATTGAGGTTATTATGGTCAATCAATTTTTTTCATTTTTGTTGACATTTTATAGCAGTAGTATAGATAAGGAGCAATTGATTGTTATGAGCACATCAAAATTTTAATTCAATTGATCAATCTAACAGTCCGCAATAGGCAAAGAAAGCAACTTAAATAACTTCACTAAAGCACTCGCCAGTGTCGCCTTGTGCTTAAGCGATGAGTGATAGCCAGGGGCGATTTATGTTCACCTCGTTGAAGCTCGCTTCATCTGGACTTTGCAAGGCGACTGGGCTTACCTCTCACCTAGGCACGACTTTCATAATGCTAGCACATGGCTTCGCAAGGCATGGCTTGGGCTTGGCTCAACATGCGTGATTGATTTGTGGGCAAGGCTTGGGTGTAGATTTGCAAGCACTTGGCTGGGACAGGTCTACTCAATGCATGGAACCAGGTGGTTGAAGGCGGTTGTTGTCTGTGGCCTAAGCATAGGAAGTAGTTGAGGGCAGTTACGGGACATGACCTGATCATGAGTGAGCAGTTATGGGTGGTTACCGAGTCAGGTGTTGAATTGGAAGAACTGCCCACCATCTGTCTAGCAGATGCAGCCTGACTTGATAGTTGTAGCTTAAAAACTGCCATGTCGATACAATTGATTCGTTAGTATGCCAGTAAATTCTAGGTACTTGGGGGTGTCAACTGTCATATTACATGTATAGATAGGGAATGCCAAGGTAATTTGTAGGCAGACTTGGGTGGATTTGTGAGTTTCTTGTATTGTTTGAGCAATAATATAAGGTTTGAGTGTTTTCCCTGTACATCGTGTGTTGCTTGCGCGTGTGTGATCCTTTATGAGTTTTGAGTGACTGGTTGGTGAGGTAGCGCCTTCACGGGTAACCTCATTGTAAAAAAAGTTGCAATTGAGAGTTACCCTGTGACAACTGTCCTCTATCAATTGTTATATTATTGATATATTCACAAACTTTTCACTATATTTTTTCATTTCCGCAGAATCCACACATGTGAGCATCTCAATCAATAATATTTACACATTCCACTCTTTGAACTTATATAGAGTGCTCTTGTAGTCAAACCTATCTTCTCTTTCCCGCGCTCGTTTCCTATCTTGCTTCCTCCTCTCCATTAATATTCAATAAACTTAAGAGAGTTAATGTGATCTCAGTTGACATGCAAACACAACTCTATGCCTGCATTTAATGCATAGGCAGTTGTCAGAACAATTCGTACATGTTTCAAAATTTCTTCAAGCACTTGGGAAACTTCAGCCAAAATTGAGTTTACCCACTCTTCCTGCTTCTTTGTAATCACAATGCTATATCAATGTGAGGGGATGTAATACTTGTTATGTATCTTTGTAGTTGACTGGGGGGAAAATTGGTGATCGGCTAATGGCTGAAGCAGAGACAAACCTTGCTATAAATGTGATCCCCACTTTGTCAGATTCATATGAAGTTCAAGGGAGGGGAGAGCTTCAACTGGGTGAGTTTTTTAAATTTGAGATTATCTGTCCAGATTTTAAACTTTCTCAAACAAAGAGATGGCTCAAGTGATAACATGTTACTTTCTGGAAAGAAAAAAGATATCATGTGATCCTTTCATTTGTTCTTCTTTCAGCATAAAAACTCAATTATATGTCATGTAATTTGTTGATTTGTTTGAATCAGGTATCTTAATCGAGAACATGAGGCGTGAAGGATTTGAGCTATCTGTCTCACCACCTAGAGTCATGTGAGTTTGTAGCTTCGTTAACGAGTTAAACGTCGTTTCTTTCCATTCTTTTTTATCAGTGCAAAGTCATATGTGTGTGTCTTTATATATTGGATAATATATATTTATATATACGCACATTAGATTCTTACATACACCCATGATAATGGCAATAGTAATTATGTCGAAAATAGGATTATAGTGTATCATTGATGGTAAAAGTTTAGTCCTAGAAGTCCAACTCAAAACTTGAATTATATTTAACATCGAGTTGAATATGAATTTGTCATCACAAGGCATCTGATTTTACTTGGTACCTGTATAGATCATCTTATTTATAGGATGACTACTGAACCGGATATAATTGATAGCTCTGGAAATGGTTTTGCACTAAGGCTCTTCTGCCATTTTAGAATGCCATCTGCAGCCAAAATAATCCAAATAATAGGAACAAATGGCTTTACCTCTCTATGCAGCAAAGAACACAAGCTAACCAATTACCTATTTCATATACTTCACTGAAAAATCAAGTTTTGATATTTTTATGTTGACCTTGAATCTATATTCCATGATAAACGTTATGCTTGATGTTGTGGTTTCAACTCATAGGCTAAACCCAAAGTCAACAAGATCCCTAGCTCATGAGTGGAAAAGCCTGGGCTGAAGTTTTTAGGTGCCCTTGAGTTTTAGGATTCTGAATGAATTGAGGCTTCAACCCATCCGTGCCTGATGCAAGTTCTAGTGCTATATAAGTTTTATATGATTAAATCCACTTAAATGAACCAACTATTCAGTGTTTGCTGCATGATAGTTTTTTTTAATTGTGTTGTCTGCCACATTATCTTTTGAACAATATCCTTCTTTTTTGTCTTAGTTAGCATTAATTTTAGTTTGCTTTTTTTTTTTTAACTCAGTATTACCATCAATAGGTATTACTGGCTGAGTTACATGACTTCTTTGAACATGATTAAACTATCTGAGTTAATTCTCACGTAATTTATTTTTCTAAATGAGCTACTTCCACCATTTTACGAATAGATTCATTCTTATATCCGTTCTCGTCTTATAACTCATCCTTTTTANTAACTCAGTATTACCATCAATAGGTATTACTGGCTGAGTTACATGACTTCTTTGAACATGGTTAAACTATCTGAGTTAATTCTCACGTAATTTATTTTTCTAAATGAGCTACTTCCACCATTTTACGAATAGATTCATTCTTATATCCGTTCTCGTCTTATAACTCATCCTTTTTAACATTACACTTCAACATGCTTAGTTTTGGACATAGTTATCAAATCGTGTATCGGAAGACGTATCGTTTTTTAAAAATAGTGTATCNTTACACTTCAACATGCTTAGTTTTGGACATAGTTATCAAATCGTGTATCGGAAGGCGTATCGTTTTTTAAAAATAGTGTATCGTATCGTGTATCGTAAGATATGGTGCAATTTTAAATAAATAATAAAAATATATATATACCTTTGAAAAAAAATCATACACTCATAAAAATATAGCATTTCATTCATACTTCACCACCTATTCAAGTCATCAACATAGTTCGCTAATATTATAATGCAAAGTTTACAACCATAGTTCACTAATTCAAACTTCAAACCCCAAAGAGACTTTTAATCCAAATTTCTAACATCCATTTTGAACTCAATCCATAAAATTAATCAAAATTCAGAAATTTTTATACAAAAAAAAAAATTAGTCAGAAAAAAAAAAAAAAAAGGTTTTACGCGTATCGGTCGTATCGTAAAAACGTATCGTGTATTGGACGATACGGTGCAAAAACGATNAGAAAAAAAAAAAAAAAAAAGGTTTTACGTGTATCGGTCGTATCGTAAAAACGTATCGTGTATTGGACGATACGGTGCAAAAACGATACATAACTACGATCCGTATCGTACGATACTAACAACTATGATTTTGGACTTCTTGTTTCTTAGTAGTCCTACACTTTGTACCACGAAGCATACACAACTTATTGTTTTGTAGTACTTTCTTTTCAAATTAAGAGCTGTACATGACCATAACACACTTCGATCTCACACCCCAAATATCAAGATTTTTCACTCTTTGGTGTCTACCCATCTTTGATCTTCACTACATCTTCATTTACACTAATACTTTGACAAAAGTATCATGCACCATGGAATTTCATCCTAAATGTATCTAGATTTTGGTTTTTTCTCAATCAAAAGTCATGCAATCATTTTAGGTTTACAGCACATGCACTATAACTATGCTTATATATGTACTTGGTATATCAGGAGTTTCTACTCGAATATTAGAGGATTATGAAGTTGAAAGTTTATGTCATAAATTGGCAAACAACCACTACAGACTTAGCCTTGGTTGGTACCTGATGGCCTACAAAGGCTTACTGCTATCCCCACGCTATGTCATGGTTTCGAATCTTCTCGAGACCAATGCATGTATACATATATATTATGTGTGTGTGTGTGTGTTAGTTTATAGGAAAACAAGATACTCCATCGGTTTTAAAATTTGGCGTCCTTTTTGGGAATCCAAAATTTTAAAGAATGTGTTTAAAGTGTTGGGAAATCCTTAATTTCCTATGTTACCTTCCCAATGAATTTGCAATTTTACTTTTTGAAAGTTATCACAAATTTCAAATAAGAGTGCCAACTTACGCAAAATAAAGTATATTAGTAATGCTGCATGAAAAGGTACATTGTGTTTTGAAATTGGACTCTTGATTGGGACATACTCTTGTTCCCTATGGTATATTGAATTTGACTATCGTTTATCTAAAGAAAAAATTTATGTTCATTGTTGGAGTTGTCAATGGATCGTGTCGTATCGTGTTTTTAATTCGTGTTGTGTCTTGTGTCTGTGTAAAAATTTGCTCAATCTATACCCGAGACATTGTAAATATGTATAGCTGGTTTCATTTCATATTGGATTTGTGTCAAACCATAGAGTCTAGAGAATTCATCCGTCTACCACTTAAACTTATTGAGGCTTAATCCAAACCGTCTAATTCCGTGTCAATTTCTTGTCGAATTTGCGGGTCGTGTGTAGAATTAACTAGTTTATTCCATAGTTATCAAAACTGACTCATAAATCAACCCGACAAAGACACCAGGTTAATGGGTCACTGGTTCAACTGTTGGGTCAACCAGTTGGATGGGTGATACAATAAAAAAAAAAAAACCATAATAATTAAGCTAAAAAAAATGATATTAGGAACAATAATATGCTTAGTTCTAACAAACCCTAGCCTCATATTAATGTTGTCTTCACCCTTTGGAGTTACAATGTGAAACTGAAGTGAGATTGCAATGAAACGAAGGTGGAGCACACCTGGCAAAGTGGCTTTTTGATCTGAATATTAGAAGCAATGTGTTTCCCAGCAAGACAAAAGGTCTTGATTAGCTTTTCATGGGCTACTGCATAACCCATGTATCAAATACAAGCAGATGCAAGATTAACTAATTTTGAAGCAGAAACAACTACTTCAGTGTTAGAGAAAACACCAAGCTGAGAGGGTATGAGGTCTGGTTGCACAATAGCAAGCATAGAGATGGAGAGATAGAAGAGAACTGGAGAAGAGAGATTGAGTGAGTAGTGGGGTGGCTGTGGTTGAGAGCGTCCTTAAGAGGAGAGGGAGACTGATCGAATTTTTAGGGCAAAATTGCCCAAAATGCAGTTTTTATAGGACTAAACTTGACCTGCCCAGTTTTAAATGGTTCATTGGCGGTTTGATTACAAAGACTATCCAAGAGTAGAATGTGCTCGGTTCAGACTCCGGGTCACTGGTTTTCGGTGTTGACCCTCTGAGCCGGGGCTGAGTTTAATAAAACTGGTTTATTCAGCACATGATTTTCCACCCTTCATATGAATCCTCCATCTCTTGCAAAACCTTTGAAATGTTGACATAGATAAGATTTCATTGTTAGACAAGGTAATGTCAAGACACTTTGTCAGTAACATTCTTGTGGCATGCTTTTTTATGTGCCCTTTCTACACCTTAACAAATATCTGTCCATAACAAATTAAAAACCGTAATACAAACACCACAATGTTCTTGCATTTTTTCTTATAAACTAGTTTTGACCTGAGAAGTACAAATACGGACACGGGTGCCGTATCCGATACGATACAAACAAGGAGGTACGACAAAACCCTAAATTATAGGACACAGGTATAGCGAGGATACGACTAATTAATATATATATAAAACAACAACATTAATAATAACAAATAAGGCATAGCAAACATTGATTTTTTTATTATAATTGAAATAAATCAAAGATTCAAAAATACACATCCACCATTTCCTCTAATATAATTACATCAATTAGCATTTATAGTCCACAAGTTTGGTAACAAAAGAACACAAAAACAAAAGGAATCTTACATCCCACCTCAATTCACTTCCAAGGGCTCATCATCTCATTGTCATTTCCTTCATTAGTAAATAGTATTGCCTCCATATCTGGTTCATCAAGGGAAAAATCCGCAATCTCAAGCATCCCACTTCCCTCTTCCATGGAATCAAATGCATTTCTTGCAACATCCCACATCTTAGTGTTGCCTTCATTGTGTTGAGGAAATTTCCTTGATAAAAAATGGAGTGTATAAATACCAAGTCTTCGGCTCTATCTGATGTGATTTTGTTCCTCTTCAAGGAGTGTATAAAAGAAAAAGTGCTTCAATTCCTCTCATAACATGAGGAGGAACAAGGTTGCATAAGTAACTTCAAAATCAAGTTTTGGAGCAAAGGTATCATAGAGCCATAGATAGATAACCCACTAATAAGACGGCTCCATGATTCCTCTATGACTCATGAAATCATGACTTGCAAATTCTTTAAAGCACACTGAAAACTTGACATACTCCTCTTTGACCTTTCTTCGTTCCTCCAAATTAGAAAAGTATATTTGAACACACTTTTCTTTTTCATTTGAAATCTCTTCATCTTTGTGTGGAAGAACACGATTAGAAGACATAGAAAGCTACTCCACGCTATAATACCTAAAAGACAAAGTAAATAAAATGATAATTATTTGATATCTAGAAAGTTAAATTAGAATCTTGAGATTTAGGGCTTACAAATTACCTCGGATTCAAGGAATGTGTCAAGCAATAGAGTGGTGTGTTGCTCTTGTCCCATCCATCCATTAATATTCCATAAACCACCGAATAAAAGGTTAATTCCTCATCTTCTTGCTTTCCTTCATAACGATAGATAACAACCTTCACTTGCTCAATCATAGAATTTCACATATCATAAACTAAGTTTTGGCAAGGCATATTTGTATCGACCTTTGTTAGCATTTCATAAATGGGTTTAGTGAAGGAAAGTATATAATTAATTTTGTCCCACCACAAATCATCTAATACTTTTTTCTTCACAAAGGCCGCTTTTCAAGCATCATCTTCTCTATAAGAANAAAAAAAAAAAAAAAAAAAAAAAAATTGCACGTATCGTGCGTATCGTACCGATACGTATCGTATCGTAAAAACGTATCGTGTATCGGACGATACAACGCAAAAACGATACATAACTACGATCCGTATCGTTTTAGGGCTGTATCGTAACGTATCGTACGATACGTATCGCGTATCGTACGATACTAACAACTTTGGTGTTGAGGAGATTTCCTTGATAAAAAGTGGAGTGT